CTAATTATGTTAACCGAGAATGCTACTATATTTGACTTGAAGCTTGAAGCATCTAGAGCCTTCCAAGATGTATATTTGGTGTCCAGAAGATTCCAGGCTGAAGAGATACTTGGCTATGGAGGTGTAGACGATTCCACCCAGGTCAAGCACTTGTTAGCATCGGTTGAATCAATTGTAGTTCGAGGGAGATGCCTTGGGAAGAATGGTCTTAGTAAATTCAGAATGGAGAGAGGGCTTGAGAGATGGATTGTGGATTGCAGTTGTGGAGCCAAAGATGATGATGGGGAGAGGATGTTAGCTTGTGATGTTTGCAGTGTGTGGCAGCACACAAGGTGTTCTGGCATTCATGACTCAGATGCTGTGCCTGCAAGGTTTCTGTGCAGCAGATGCAGAGGCTCTAGCCAAATGAACAAACTTATTGGTGAATACCAGAATGAGACTGTGACTCTGGCAGGTTGCAGTGGTGGAGCTGGCGGCAGGGGAAAGAGCGTAACAACTTATCCCCACGACGGCTGAGGGTTGGAATGTTGTAAATCATCTTCTTTTTTGGTTGGTGAGGTTTCTTGGTGGCCTAAAACTAATTTGTAAATATGGGTACAGGCCACAGGAATGAACCTAGGGCAGTTATTTCTCATATAAACTTCAATTGATGGCTGGATATACACAGAAGATGAAGGGCATGAAATGGGTTTTTGCTTATTTTTCTCTCTTGAATTTATCTTCTAACTTTTTTCGTTGACTAGAAAGAGGTGAAAGAACCTACTATCAGGAGTTTATGTTCATAAATTAAATATTCAAGAGCTTATTACATCTTTAAAATAAAAGTATTCATAATTGATTAAAAATTTGATCCGAAACAATATTGAATTTGAGATGTTAGGAATTTTAGTTAGGCCGTGAAACCAAAGTGATGTCAATTAATTAATTAATTGTCAAGAATTAGAGGGCCACCATATTTGAAAGAGTTTATGGAATAATTCTCTTTGCTTTTTTTTTTTTTATGTATTAATTAGAATGTATTTATATACAAATATTCTATATGTGGTAACTATAAATAATTATAAGATAAATATAATATTATCATGAATTATAACTATTGATATACGATAAATACTTATCATGAATGATATAACTATCAATAACTGTATATATCAATATCTCCCATAAATCGAAGTGTGGTAGAACGTTAAGATTGACACAAAGTTGACAAAATCTACTCCTTGGCAATCTTTTGGTGAAGATGTCCGCAATTTGTTCTTTACTGGAGACATGGCACACAAGAAATTGTCGAGCCAGCACCCATTCACACACAACATGGACATTTAACTGTATATGTTTGGTGCGTGCATGCTGTATGAGATTGACGGACATGTATGTTGCACTTATGTTATCACAAAAGACCTCCTGTGGATGCTGAATTTGAACACCCATTTCATGTAATAATTGTTCAATCCACATCAAATTTGCCACGACACTTGCAACAACCTGATACTCCGCTCAACATTAAAACATGAGACGGTGGGATGCCTTTTAGCTGACCAGGATAAAATATTGTTGCCTAAGAAAATTGCAAAGCCAGTGGTCGATTATCTCGTTTCTTGGCAACCTGCCCAATCAACGTTTGAATATGCAACTAAGGAGTTGTTGTGTCCTTTGTATATTTGAAGACCATAGTTAACTGTCCATTTGAGATAGTGAAGGATGTGTTTAATTACTTGTAGATGAACTTCTCTTGGTGTTTGCGTATGCTGGCACACTTGATTAATAACATAAGATACGTTAGACCATGTAAAAGTTAAGTATTATAATGCCCCTATAGTATTTCTATAGTGTCGTGGATCATCCAATAATGGGTTGTCCAATGATGAGCCTAATGAATGTTTGAGTGTTGTTGGAGTTTCAATTGGTTTTGAATATTACAATTTAGATTTCTCCAATAAATTCTCAGCATATTTAGCTTGATCCAGAAACATCCCATCCGAATTGTATGTGACTTGTATGCCAAGGAAATAATTGAGCTTTCCTAAGTTAAACATAACAAATTTAGTTTTAAGAACCTATATAATATGTTGCAACAAAGAAGAAGAAGATGATGTTAACACGATATCATACACATATAATAAAAGAATGACTATGTCGGCCCCATGTTTGAGAAATAAATCCATGTAATTTTAGAAAACTTGTGAATTGCTCAAACCAAGCCCGTGGAGCTTGCTTAAGCCCATCACTAACTTTCTTCAATTTGCAAGCATATTTTGGATGAATAAATCCCTTGGGTTGTTTCATAAAAACATCTTCATGTGTTGC